GGGGGGTGCGGCACCCCCCGCACCCCCCTTTAGCTACGCCCCTGCCAGCTTGCTAGGGTAACCCTTCTGCTAGGGTCACCCTACCTCCATGTAAACGGGCCCTTAGTCGGTGTGAAACCTCTCCGACATCGTCGCCGCAGTGCTACACCCCCACTCAAATATACACACGTAAAAACCTCACTGCTTGTTAACAAGATGTCTTTGCCAGCGAGTTACGTTGTAGCTAGTGGAGTTGTCGCAAGCTTGTCAAAAAGCTAAGCCGCAGCGATCTGCAATTTTGTTCATTTGTCAAGTTTCAACAAGATTGCCAATCACATGAAATTAGTTAACAATTTGTTGGAACAGCTTGCATAAGCAACCTTGTAACAAATTATCAACATGGTGCATGCATGTTGTCTTTGCCTTCACCACAAGTTCATGTATATAAATACTAAGGTGATGCTAATGTAAGATCTATGGTTAAATATTAGGATTTGGGGCATTTCACTTATATAGAACTAATTGTTGAAGGGATTTATAGGTGTAAATTTCAAATGTAATTTTTATACATATAGAAGACCTATTCTAACCAAGAAAGTTGCGGAAAATGCAACTATATCGGTCGTGGGTTCGATTCCCGCCCAAGGGCCTACAGTTGCATTCTTCGCAACTGCTCCTGCATGGTTAGATTTTATAAATACTCTAGAAATTTGCATCTAAAAATCCCTTCAACATGTTGACGTACAACCTGTTTTAAGAAGCTGCGAACTAGCTAGTAGTGCGAACACATCCTGCAGATTACCTGATAACAAGTTGTTGAAACAGCATTAGCACATGATTAAGTGTGCTGCAGGTTTGTTACAAGTTGCGCCTTATTGCCTGTGTATACACCCGTAAAAACAGGAAAACCTCTTGCAGATCTGCAAACAACTTATACCAAGGCTGTTGCCTGTCAAGCTCATATGACGGTACCACTCGCTAATGCAAAAAGACTAATACAGGCTGTTGGTATAACAAGTTGCTGCGATCTTCTTATCATCAACATCGCAACAGAAAGTATTTTGTGTAGGCGATATCAGAGTCCGTTGGACTCAACAACCTTGTTACAAGATGACAACAACTTGTTCCACATATCACCACATGTCACCAACTGGGACTTGCAATGCAAAGGCATCCTTGTCGACAAGTTGTGCGATTTTCAGGATATGTACGCTATGCATATGAAACATGCCAAATGCAGTGCAGTAATAACATTTTTGCAACTTTCATTGCTCGCACGGAAAGTCGTACAGTTGACTGTGCTCAAATTCTTCCAATTATGATGAGCTAGCGAAATTGTGCTGGTAGACTCTGTGATACGGTCACAGAGTGTACACAGCTATTTCAAAGAGGAAAGATCTAGGGAGAAAAACAAAATCAAGGATCTGGTAGATATACAAAACCGAGCTAAAGAACCCCAATTCCGTATCGGAGATTTGGTATTGTTGAAACAAAGTCAAAGCAATAAGCTATATTCACCTTGGATATCCATCACCATAACGCGTAACAGGTATAAAAGGATCACAAATCACAGCAAAACGCCGAGGAGTTACGGTCACACGAAATTCGTCACATTTCAAGCGTGTAATTCCTTACTTGCAAGAAGTAGACGATCCATATTCAAACAATAGTGAAGAACAAGAGGGAGAAATGGCAGCCCAGCAACAACAGGAAGATCCAGAAAATGATATCGCAAGTGGGTTATCTGACGAAGTATTGATAATGCAGAGCAAGACCAGCCGTTAAATCAATATCCAAGGAGAGAAAATCGATACATTCGGCCACAGTATTATGAAGAAGAAATCGGTTGAACTGGACTGTATTGGATTGAATATTTACGTTATTGAAAGAGAGTACCCGATAAGTAAGAACATTTATGGTACTTTAGTATAGTATCGGGAAACATTTAAAAACTTCTTAGGTTAATTTAAAATTTATTGGTTATTTATGATTGTTTTGAGTTACGTTTTGTTCATAAAGAAAAGGGGAGTTTTAAGGGGAGTTAAAGGAGTGCAGTACGGGTCAGAGTCGGGAGACTGGGGAGAAATTCAAGATGGCGGGACTGAGTGAAAGCTTAAATTGTAGATTGTAAAATTGAATAAAACCCTTGAGTTTGAGAACATTATACAAGTCTCGTTCATTTTCCATAAAATAACGCTAAACAAATTAATATTGCTCCTGGAGATGTATAGGTACGAGGCACGATACACAGCCATATTTTCTAAAGATAGTCACAGATGGTCCGCACTAAACTCTGCCGACACTTTGTTTACATAACGTACTCTCGTGGAGGAAAAATGGGAAAAAAGCAATTTCGACAGAGTAAGCCGTGGACCATTTTGACAACTTCCCTGCGACGACCATCCAAATAACAGAGTGGTTGTTATGAAAGCAATCGGTGGCTGTGCGACGCTTAAGATTTCATGCACTCGCCAACGGAGGGTAACCGAGGTCGTTTCCCATGAAGCCTTTGAAATTTAGATCTAATGACATCCAGCCATTTTGGAGAACATACAGTTTTGGAGATTATATCATATTATGCAAGTATATATCTAAGAGCAAATATATATCGTGTAAATTCCGTGTTATATGAAAGCAAGAAACGTCTCCACTGCCATTATACTGTTGTAAAGAGAAAATATTGTTATCTCAATAAAAAAGGTTGAAATATCAATAAATAACTGGCGATTTTTTGCGAAAATCGCAGGGTGTCGACATTTTTGGAAACCCTGATCGTAAAACGGCTCGATGTCAGAATTCAGAAACAGCTCTACAGGGTGTCTAAAAAACGCTATGGAAATTCAACAGGCTGTCGTGCATCACAAACGTGGGTAAACAATTCAATTTTTACATACGACGAAAGAGCTGTTATTTAGCTTTTCTATGAAACCTGTTTTAAACCGTAACGATGAGAAATGGCCACATACTCGTCAAATGAAAAGTACCGGTCGAAATCACATTCTTCCACTGTTGGGAATTGCATGGAAAACGAAACATAGACCATTCCCAAAAGGGAAATAAAATTGAATGTTAAATTAACTAAAATGACCTCAAGTCGTCAATCTTCGTCTTAAGCCTGGTTTCCATTAAATCGTAATTATCGCAATAGTCGCGGAACGCAGAGATCGCTATCGCAAAAATCGCAGTAATTCTATCTTTGCGACTTTGTCGTAAGAGTCTTAGTTATCGGTGTGACTTAAGTTTCCAATAAATCGCAGTTTTTATTAAAATTTTCGCGTTTTTTAAATCGTTGCGACCCTTGCGATGCGGTTCTTGTGATAATTACGATTTAATGGAAACCAGGCTTTAGTGAGACAATAAGAACGTCATTAAACATGGTTCAATTAACCACAGAACAGAGAACAATCGTAATCAAAAGTCTTACGAAACAAATAGGAATAGCTTGCAGCAGACTCGCGTTGCTTTTGGATTGATTAACTTTGCGTAATGAATGTATTTTCAATTCCCAACGGTGGAAGAATGTGATTTCGACCGGCAATTCTTATTTGACGATTATGTGGCCATTTCGCATCGTTATGATTTCAAAGAGGTATCATTGAAAAGCTAAATAACAGCTCTTTCGTCCTATTTAAAAATTGTTTAGCAAAGTTGATAATGCACGACAGCCTGTTGAATTTCCATAGCGTTCTTATGAGACAGCATGTATGACTAAAACGGGTGTTTTTAGCGATTACGTCTTTAGTGATACGGTCCGTTAGAAAAACTGACTGGGATTAGCTGGGGAAAATGGCATTAAAACTGTTTACGATCTTCACATCTCACATGCACACATCGGATTTAAATTTTCACCATCTCAGCTCACTGGTTCTTGCCTTCTTCTTTCCATTTGCTTCTCACACAATAGTATTTTGAATTGACATAATATATTTATTTTAATGTATAGAACATAGAAATATTTACTCCATTATAATATATTATATAATTTACACTTTTTAGCAGGACGTGTAACGTTTTATATACGGCAACACCCTCGCTTTAAATATCTTTCTATTTTGGTATCCCTTGTTCCCAAAGAACTTAACAGGATGCAAGAACATAGTATCTTCTGCGAATTTCGGCCAAACGTATTTTACGTTGGCAAAATCCTGAAACCCGAATATTTCCGGTAAATAAATGCCTTTTGCATTCTCCCAATTTTTCCAATCTTCGAGCAAACTCAAAATAGTCGGAAATGCAATTTCGAGGAACACTTTATTTTCGAAAAATATCCTTGAAAGCATTTCGAATTCTCGGCTCATCCTTCCAGGAACGTACGCGAAGTCGGACCACGTGCGAAAACACATCGTTCTGTTTCTACCATTACGATAATGGGTGTACAGTAGCGTTTTAATATTGATATTAGGCATATTTAAGGATTTGTTTGTAAAACCAACCAGTTGCCGGTACGTTTTCTCGCAATTTTTTAATCCATTTTCCTTTTTCCACCACATCCAATCATCGCGCAGTGGTCTGCGATTCATTTCATGAGCCACACTTTGAACAATTTCGGCTCCTTTCCAAATTTTATTCTTGTCCAGTTTCGCAAAATTCCACCAGTTGACAATCATGTCATCATTAACAAACATATATCCTCTGAATCCTGGATGCAAGCGCACGGCTCTCCCCAGACATTCGTAACTATAGTAACCGCGCGGTCCGACGTCCACGGTTAAAATCTGGAATTCAGTACTGGATTTAGGTCCGCAAACAGCTATGTTGGGGAACGCATCTTTATATTGGGAAAGGATAAAGGGAACGGTGTCGTAGAATGGATAATGGTATACCACGACCAAAAGAACATCTTGGAAGTAATTTTTGAGACATTTACCACCGTTAGTGTCCGCAAAGTTTCTGTATTCTCCTGTTAAGGAAAATGAAATAGAGCATTAGGTCTGGTTTTGAAGGTGCCGTACGTAATCAAATTAAACTAACTTTTCATGCGCGCGTCGAACCTAATCAAATTAAATACGGCACAAGTTCGGCAACTGACTTAAACGTCAGACTTAATTGTAGGCCTACCCTGCCATGCAAAATACAAATACATTATATCAGAAATTCCAGTGCTAAATAGCTAATATATCATAATAATATCAAGATAATCTAGGCTATAAATATACATGCACACTAGGTTCGACCGACGAAAAGCATATGGCGTCTAAACCCATGTCGAATCTGAGTCGCACAATACGACATGACTTGCTGTATTTTTTGTGCATTGTCGAACCTAATCAAAACTTGCATGCCGAAGTTAATTGATTTAGACGGCGCTCTTCTGTCGTACGTACAGTGTTGTATACTATAGGTTCGGCGCATGAAAAGTTCGCCCTCTAAACCGGGCCCTCAAGCCTTCATCTCTTCATGTTCAAGATACTATAGGCAAGTTAAAGTTAACGCAAGCTGTCCTATATATAACATAAAGTTACCAATACCAAATGTTACTGAATTTTCAGCGTAGTGGACACACACAAATTTATTCGCGGTAGGGTCCTGATATAGACGGATTGACACTTCGTAAGGAGAGTTGGTAAGATAATTTCTCATTACCTTGAATCTATTGTAAATTCATTACAATCCAAACAAAACGATTTAGAAAATATCATGAAAAGTCAAGATGAGGTGATTAATAAGCCTGAACAAGAAAATGTAATGTTTAAATCAAAGTTCTCGATATAATTAGAAAACCTTTCGTTTACCGATAGTCCCCAATTATATGCTTTACCTATCAATTATTTAATAAGCCTGAACAAGAAAATGTAAAGTTTAAATCAAAGTTCTTGACTTTAGAAACCATGTCCGCAATTATATGCTTTACCTATATATATATATATATATATATATATATATATATATATATATATATATATATATATATATATATATATATATATATATATATATATATATATATATACATATATATATATATATATATATATATACATACAGGGTGTATAAAAAAAAACTGAACAGATTTGAAATTGCTCTCAATTTCGCAAAACAGCTATTAGTATCCGGTTTTTTATATCTATAGTTTCTTTGGGTACTTATAATGTAGAATAATGAAAAAAATTTCTCGAACTCAAATTTTGTGAACCAGGGGGTTGTGTCTTTTCCAACAAAATTAAAATGGATCGCGCACAAAATTTAAAAGTTGTAGTCATATTTTGAGTTAATAGATGGAAAATTTGTTGTATTTTTAATTACTGTACAAAATTTCAGACAATTTGGTTTAGTTTAAGCCCTTTAACTATTCATTTTATTCTAAAAAATCAGCCTTTCGCATGCTTAATTAATGCCTTTACCTAATTTGCATATTGCTGACATATGCAAATTAGGCAAAGGCATTGATTAGCATGCAAATGGCTGATTTTTTAAGAAAAAATGTAAGTTTGCGTGAATGGTTAAAGGGCGTAAACTGAAGCAAATTGTCTGAAATTCTGTACAGTAATTAAACACCCAACAA